GGAAAGAGAAATTTAAATGTTGCTCTTTGGAGTCCCTGGAGCTCTTGGTTTGCTGGAGAATTTGAGGAAATCAGTATTTTAATCTAACTCATCAAGACACTGTTGAGCCTTCATTATCATATTAGTGCAGCTTACTACAACCCAGTGCTTGCTATTTGGAGTAATTGTGTTGCCATGTTTTGGAAAATTCCTGAGGCAACCTGGGTAGAAAGGAGCAACTGAATAGGCAAATTCCTTATTGTTCCTTTTTGCATCCTGCTTCTGAGGGCTGTGTGAAGGGTGCTGAGGTCTTCATCCATATTTGGACTCATATTGTGACTTGTGTTTCCATAGCTGAGTGGATACTCATAAGAGCACTTCAGTGACATAAGTAGATTTCTTTTTCTTCATGACTGACTAACTACCTAATCAATGGAAATAAGATTGTCATAGTACAGATCATTCCGCCAGTCCTCACTGCTGCCATAGGTTTGGAATTGCCAAAATGGCCTCTTCTGTCTGAGAGGCATGGCTGTCACTACCATGGAGCACTGAAGAGGTGAAAATTAGCAATCGAAATTGGGTTTCAAGGAGCCAAGATAAGTGTGTACAAAAGCAGTAGCTGCCAGGGTTGCTAGAAGCTGGGTTTAACCATATTCTTTTACAGCGACAATGCCTGTGTCACTTCTTAATTGACTTGAACAAGGACACTTAAAATGTTACTGTCAGGTGGATTGCACAAGGGTCTTGTACCTCTGTGGCACGGAAAAGAAAACATTAGCTATGAAAGTTGACTGGACAGCAAAAAATAACGACTGGACAAGGCAAAATTAAACTGTGGCTTGTTTGTCTTGGCATCCGTGCGCTCAGAGCCATGTGCAACTGAGGGAGCAGAGACACAGACTGAAATGTGTGGCCCAAGTTGACTTAGTGTGGGGCCACCAACTCCCCTCTGCTGGCTAGGATCGTGCACGCATGAAAAGATGTATCCTGCCAAGCGCTGAACTTGTTTTACAGAGGCTGAGGTTCCTAAATGCTGACAATTAGGGCCCAGGTCATAGAAGCCGAAGAACCTGTTTTCATTCCTATTGTTTCATGTGGTCATGAAAGTGTGACACTGTGCAGTGATCTTACAGGAGGCAAGTGAATTGTTCTTTTGGACCCGTGTGCTAGCGAGTAGCTGTTCAGTAGATAACTAACTCTTTTACAAATAACGAGGAAGTTAAGCTGTGTGTAGCTGAGTTGGTGAAGCAGGATCCCCTCAGCTCAAGCTGTTGGTTTTTAGCCCTCTTCTGGAGTAATCCTAGTGGAGGTAGAGAGGATTCTGTCCTTGTGATCCAGTTCATCCTCTTTTTCTCTTCACACCCTGCCAAGAGGCAAGACAACCAGTACGAGTCGTACTGGCAGCCAAGGTGAAAGACATTCCAAAGTGCACTTTGGGTTTCTTTATAGTGATTCGTACTTTGTGAGCTGTTTTCTTTTCCTCCTTTGCTTTCTTTTGTTTTCTCTTGCAGCTGGTTTTAAACAGTTATTCTGCAGTTCCATGAAAAAGAGCAGAAATTTTGGCCAAGGACATTGGAGCAAGCCCCTGGTGCCTGTGCAGAACAGGCAGGATGCCGATTGTTTGGAAATCAACAGTGGAATTGTTCCCACTTGTATCTGTGCCAATAGAGGACAAAGCTGATGTTAAAGCTGTTCTTGAGAAGAGCATCCCACCTTCAACTCTGCGAAGGACCAGGCCACTGCCAGTAGAGCTGTGCTGTGGCTTTGTGTTTGGCATTGCAGTGGTTTCTGGGGAGGGGCTGGTATAGTAGGTGGCTCTCAGGGCTGTCAGTGCTGCCAAGTGTTAACCCTTTGTTTACAGCGTGGGAATGACAGTGAATGCACAATGGAGGCTGGAGGCCTCCAGAGACAGCCTGTGGTAGACTCGCTGTGTTTCGGAGCAGGTAATGATAGTTGCTTGTCTTTCTCTCCGAGGTACTCTCTTTCTCTGGATATTCTGGCCAAGCTTCAATTCTGTACTAGCTGACGACAAGAATAAAGTCATCTACAACACCTACTTTGCCCTTGCAGTGAGTGCTGTAACTGCCTTCGTGTGGTCTGTGCTGACCACAAAGGATGGAAAATTCAGAATGGTAAGACATGAGACAAAATCCCTGCATAGAGAAGATATTTTTCTGTTACTCTTAGTAAGAGCTATTAAGTCAAAACAAGTCCAAGTTTTCAGCCTGACAGTCACTGTTAGCCTCCCAAGCTGAAGCTGTAATGTAGAAATAGTGTTCTCAGATTGTAATTTACAGTATAGAGAGGCCCGAAGTCACCCTAAAGAGATGGCACTTGCATGAGAATAGCGACCTATGATACTGGGCTGCTGAAAGGTAAGTGATGACTGAATTTTAACTCCATCTTTTTGTGGTTTTATCTTACAGACTCATATCCGCAGTGCAGTACTAGCTGGTGGGGTCACTGTTGGGTTTGCAGCACACAGTATTGAGCATCCTTGGATTGCAATGATTTTGGGTCTGCTTGCCAGTGTGATAACCGTGTTAGGATCTTACTGTTTACAGGTAGTACTCCAAACCTGAAATTGTTTTTTGTATAAGCCATATAAACTTATTCTCCAATGTAGGATACCTCAAGGGAAATCTCTTTTTCAAGGAGATTAAAGCTAGGAGACCTGAAGTCTTTTGAGTGGAGTGCAAGGTTGCAACTTGCAAGACCAAAGTTCATCTTCTAGGTCTGCAACAGATAATATGCCGTTATCAACTTGCATTTTTGTGTATCAATTCAACTTTTTCTTCTTCCCAGAGATGCTTGAATCCTGCTCTCAAGCTTCATGATACTTCGGGAGTTCATTTCACTTTTGGCTTGCCTGGTGTGCTCGGAGGTCTTGCCCAGGTTATTCTTTCAGTAATAGAAACCAAGAGTGATTTACTAAGGTACATAAATTCTTGCTATTAAGTAATAAGCTTAGCTAATCGTTATTGTAGTATGCCTTGAAAAGAGTTCTCATACATACACAAAGCCTCAACATCATCACAAATAAATTGTTTTATACCAGGTAACCTAAGATAATCTTTGAAGTCCAAAAAAAGTCAGTAAAAAAGACTTTCAGAGTTGAGCAGACTTTGGATCAAAACTTTAATATTAGCTTTTAGTCCTGTTTTCTGTCTCCCTTTTTATTTGATATTAAATCCAGCAGACATAGGTGCAAGCTGGGGGTGTGCATCCTTCCAAGACTCATTTTGGCTTTTGTGATGTGTTTTGGGGAGCTTTGAAATCAGCATTTCTCTTCGAATGAGGCTTTAACTCTGAGTCAGGAGCAAGAATGCCAGTTTGGACTAAAGCCAGTCTGGACACTGAACTGGAAGATATACTTGGGGAGATACCCTGCAAAAGCTGAGGACTCAGTTAAGGATATTCTCCATAGGTCACTTTGATCTGGCGCTGGCATCTCATTTTCCCAAATCAAGCTCAAGTTGTGTCATACAAGTTCTCTGATTTCTCAGTTGACACAGGAATGAATCGTGGTGCAGCATAACAGCCTTAAGTTTCTCGTCATGTCCTTATTGAAACAAACAAATTTAATGACATTTTAGTACCACAACGATGGTCTCTAAGGGCAAAATATGTCCTCTGAAGTCTGGATTGGGCTTCTGATAGGATCTCTTCAAGCATCTAACTGCAGCTGCAGAAAGATTTGAGAATAATGAAGTTTTTATGAGAGGTTCTGATGGAAAGTGCTGTGTAGATACAGGTTCATTCATAGTCTTAACGCGAAATTCAGCAACCATAAAAGGTGAAACACTTGTTTTGCTTTTCAGACTGGGTGATTTGCTCATGACTGACATTGGTGCCTTATGCCTGACCATCAGCATTGCCGTGATAACAGGTTTTATTACAGGTCGGTATCGAAAAACATTTCAGTAATATCTTCCTCATTTCCTTGAGGCAGGGGGTATGTTATCTTGTTGCACCTGCTGTTGTGTGAGTGCAGCCCTCCACAGAAAGAGGCTGGTTTAACTGGGGCTCTGAAGTGTGCTTCTATGGGTAAATTATTTGTAGAAGAAGCTATGAATGGCAAGGACTGTTCAAAGCCAGTCTTTTGAAGAAGAGATGTGTTGACATAAATAACCTAGTAGCACCATTCTTTCACTGGTGACGTTTACTTCAACGGAAGCTTAACAGTTGCCTTCAAATTTCAGAGAGGAGATGTGTGAGGATGAAAGTATGATTACATTTGGGTATTGTCTTAGTGACAGAGAAGTGCTAGCTAGAGCTTGTCACTTTTTAGGCCAGTTGGTATAAATCTGCAAAGTTTCACTCATGTCAGTAGCTCTCTTGCGTCGGCCAAGCGCTAGGCCTTTGATCTTTAGTGGTTTGGGATGGTCAGGGCTCATGTGTTTCTCATGTGATGTTCTGTCTGGTTTGTGGCAGCTGCAGGTTTTCTGTAGCTGTTAGTTCTGTCTGGAATAAAAGAGAAATGGCAGATGGAATTTGCTGTGCAATATGCTCTAAAATGATTTTTTGTGTCTGCTTTAATTGATCTGAAACCTTTGCATTACCTTAGGTGTAATTAAGAAGTTGAGGTAATCAAGCAGATTTGTAAAAAATATTCAGTTAAAATAGTCAAACATTCAGTGTTTAACTAATTGTTTAAAAATCTAGATGTTTCCATCTGAAATCCCAAGCTAACGATGCTGATAAGCCTGATTGCTCTAAATACAAGGCATTTCTTATGCAAGAAGTTAATGGTTTTTGATGTATTTTTAGAATCTGTCAGGTTGTTTAATGGTGTTTTACCTAGAGTAATTAATTTCTAATAACACAAGCCTTGATCCTGGCAAGGTTCTCTCTTTGTATTTAAGGTCAACTTGAGTCAAGGGGCTCTGCTGAAGCATTTAGCTCTGAATTTGTGTTTTGATCTATATTACATTTGGATGTGTGTTAGTAGAAACCTCCAGTTACACACAATCTTCCCCTTTCCCTGATGTGTGTATTTACGTTGGATATATGTGCTTTTACACATAGGTTTAATCTTAAACCTCAAACTGTTTAAGACCCCTCCTGTATCCAAGTACTTTGACGACCAGTTTTATTGGGAGGTAAGTTTCAATGTAAAATTAACTGTGTGGGAGTAGATACGGCACCGTGTTCACCTCGATTAAGAATTCTATTAAAAAGAAAAAAAGGAGGATAATTCCGTTTCACAGTGCGTTTTGGATGCCCTCTGTGAAATGGATGAACTGTTCCAGAGTTGATTCAGAGCCTTGAACGTTATAAATGCACGTAGTCCTCAGCCAGGATTGTCAGAGCTGCTGGTGGGCACAAGGCTGAATCTGAAATGATCTTGTTTGTTGTAACGTGTCACCTCAGATCTCTGGCATCCTCTGGGGTGGACAGCCTGGCCTCCGTGCTCCATACATGGTCCCTGAGGAGACCTGAGCAGCATCTAAGAGAGGGGTTTTTAGAAGGCAGTGAGTGGAATGCAAGGTGCTTTTTATGAAAACAGACCAAGCCTCCTGGCCTTCGTGAGTGCAGAGCGGCTGTTCAGTCTGGTGCACAAACACAGGCCCTGGGCACCTTTAGGTGCTGAATGTGACGCTGTGTCTGAATTACAGAAAAGAGAAATGGGTGAAAATAAGGTTTTCCATTGCCTAATACCTAACCTAATAAGGTTTCCCCTTGCCTTTTTCGTATGATGATTCCATACATAAAATGTGCTGATACAACAATCTTGTCTTCACAGTTTCCCCATTCGGCCGTTGGATTTTGAATGGAGGAACCCAGAACCCAGACGGCAGATTCGAGCAAGATAAGATTTTCCTGTTTTTCGCTAGGGAAAGTGAATAGCTATGGTGTGCTGGAAGAGCACTTCAGTATCAACTTGCGGGCCCAGAAAAGCCATCCCAATGGACACAAAAAAATTAGTAATAAACTGTTCTAGTTATTCTTGAAAGATACAGGGTGCAAATTTACAGAGGCAAACTTACAGTTCATTTAGTTTTTCTGCTTTGATGGTCTTTAATTATTTCTTTGTAGGATATGTACAAAAAAGTTGGCTGCATTCATTGCTGTGACAGCTTATCAATCAAAATGCTTGGAAACTTTATTTTTAGCTCCCAAGTTTAAAAGCCAAAATGTGTATTTTAAAGTATAATTTTTCAAGGAGTGCATACTCAATTCTTACTTAGTGAAGCATTAAAGTACTTGTTTTTAAGCTAAATTAATTCTGTTGAAGGCCCTGTTAAGCAAGGATTTGATGAGTGAGCTGGATCAGGGCCAGAACTCTGCATCTTGCCAGACTGAACTCTCGGAGTTATCTGACTGCTTAAAGAAAAAAAATAAATCGATAATTACTCGGCTCAGGCTTGCTGTTTGGAAGTTCAAATGGCAAGAGGTTAAATTGTTCTGCTTGTGGACAGCGCCTCTGAAATCACTGGAATTACTCATATTTATTTGGCAGCAAAGCTCAGAACAGCCTGTCTGCGCAGGGACAGGCTGCACCACCACGGGGTCAGCTGCCCAGAAGGCTCTGGCTGCCCTAAGGGTGTGGATGACTGGAGAAATTGGGGAATAGTCCTTGGTACTGCTTGGCACCAGGGCTAAAATCCCATTTCTGGAGTGTCTCACGTTGAGCTGTTTCACTCCGAGACAAGCAGGAGGCTTTGATTCTGTGCAAACGAACTCTTGTTTTTAAATGGATTGTGATCTTCAGTTATTCTTGTTTCAAAATAGTTACCATAGAAAAGCTCTTTCAAAAACACTTACATAATAAAAAAGTCAAAATGTGATTGGTTTTGTTTATTCAGCACATTTGCTTAAAAACGAAGTACTGAGGAAAAACGTATTCTTGAAGACAAAGCCTGAGCTCTTTGATGCTCACTGTGGTAATGCTGCTGACCTCAATTAATTCCTTAGGGAATTAAGCAAAGTAGATCACTGCCATTAAAGAAGCCATTCAGAGACAGGTTTCAAGCACTGGAAAAGTACTTGCAGAGGAAGGGCCAGTTTTTCTTATTTCCAGGTCACAAAATAGCCAGTGATCTGCTGAGTTTTCAGCTGCCTGGCTTCTGCCAGTGCCACTCAGCCTGGATACACACAGAGTTGTGTTATCTCACAGTTACACAACTACCTTTGTAATAGTGTAACCCAGGCTCAATTTGGGTTCTTAATTTCCTTAACTTTCCAGCAACCAACCAAACATAACTCCTGCAACACCAATGGTTTCTGCTGTTTCCTAGCAGGAGTGCTTTTAAGGAAGAGTATTTTATTCCCTCCCTTTCCCCATATCTCTTTCATCGTTGATTGTTTTAAGCAACTAGCCTAGGTGAGCGCATGGGAAGGGGCAGATACAGGAAGAGCTCCCTCACCCCTCAACCGACTATGCTACAGGATCAAAATTCTCACCACTCCTGACTGACCCTGGTCTGAAGAGTGCTCTTCCTTTGTTTTACAGTGGTTAGAAAACAGTTAACAGCAAGATTCGTGCATGAGATACTTCTATGCAGAGCTGCTACGCAGTTCGTACTTGTGCATCTACCTCGTCATCCACAGCAACAGTAAGTTGCTACTCACTGGAGACTTCCTCATTACTGTCATAGGATAAATTAAATATTCAGGGAAGGGGAATAAAAATCCCAAAGCAGCATTGTTCTGCATTACGCAAGAAAAGCCACACACCAGTTAAGTTTTGAAATTGAGGAAATGGTTATATTGTCCAGATGTAGGAAATATTTAATAAATATATGTTAAAAAGTTGTTTTGAAGCATTTTTAGTAAGTCTTAGATCGTAAATAACATCATAGAAACAGCTGGTTAAATACATCTATCTTCCACTATAGCAAACATCGTATCATAAAAGTGACTGCCATGGGTACGTGTAGCAATCTTACATCTGTCAAAAACATTGCAACATTTAAATCAACATACCAGAGTAAAAAAGTTAAACAGAATAGAACCAGAATTTTTAGCGCTGCGATTTAAGCGTTCCTTGGTTTATCTTTATAGACACAATTGAAAGTCACCGTTTACAAAATGGTTTTACAAAACTTGGGGAGTGTGCAGATAAAAAACCAGCATGGCCAACGCACTTCCACAGGCGTGTTCATTGCCACAAATCTTCCGTGCGACCAAACTTGAAGACCAGTCCTCTGTTTCAAACAGAATGAAGGGAGGTGAGCACACAACAGAGCAAATCAAACACCTCACGTTTCAAAATACACGATTTCAGGGAGCAAGTTCTAGTCTTTGTAAACCCAGTTCCTGGTCCTGCAACAGAACTTACGCGGACAGATCTCACCGGCAGTTTATTCACCCATGTCTCGTCACAAAAGGAACAGCAGGTTACAGCAAGTTTCAGGTTTTATCATTAAAAACAAATTAGGTAAGAAACAAAGGAAGATAGTCTTACCCAAAAAAGATGAACGCATTCTGGAAAAACACAGCTATTCCTGGGTATACGACTGTTTTTTCTAACAAAAAAAGAAATCTCCATAAATTCTTTGGAAGTCATTTTCAAGAACATCTCATCTCTGACATTTCAGAAACAAAAATAACCAGTTTCATTTAAATAGGAACATGAGGTGTCTACGTACTAGGAAGCAGTTGAGTTAGGGGGGTCTGTTACAAGATGGGATTTCCCAATGATCCAGGGGTGAAGTAACAACAACCATTTAGTGCTGTTGCTACTACACAACAAATCTGCCTAAACCTCATTGTTCTCAGGTGGAATTAAGAGGGAACTATGCAGCTTATGGTGGATCCCTTTCATTCTCTAACAAGATGGGCCTCTCCAGTCTCTGCCGCCCAGTCGTGGGACACAGAAGACAAGCATAAGCCTCGTCCCACTGGAAAGTTCAATTCAATGGCTTTTGTGCTCCCCCAAATCATTCAGCTTTCCAAGTAAAAGAAGCCTCTCCTGTTCCCTAACCCAAAAACGTGCATCTCAAATGCAGTGCTCATAAAGACTGTAATTATCACACGGGATTGCGCATCCTGTTTGGAACTGTGTGTAAGTATATATACCTATATATTCATGTATAATGACAGTATACAAAATGGGAGTGCACATTAGTAGCACAACTGTGCAACTAATGGTCTGGGTTTCCCTGAAAATCTCCCGTGAACTGAGTAAGGCCAAAGCTGACGAGAATGTAAATTAAACAAAACCACCAGTGTGCCCTGACTGATATGAAATTCACTTCAGCTCCAGGTACAAGTCGTAGCTTTACATTTACGTAAGTAACCTGACTTCCTTTTGAAAAACTACGCTGCAGTTTCCATGTCTTTCTCAAGAACTGCCTTCGTAAAAAGTTACTGTGGTACATGTTTGTGGTACATGTAATGGCTTTAAATTGAAAAAAGGCAGATTTAGATTAGATCTAAGGAAGAAATTTTTCACTCAGAGGGTGGTGAGGTACTGGACCAGATTGCCCAGAGAAGTTGTAGATGCCCCATCCCTGGAAGTGTTCAAGGCCAGGCTGGATGAGGCTTCGGGCAACCTGGTGTAGTGGAGGGTGTCCCTGCCCATGGCAGGGGGGTTGGAACTAGATGATCTTTGAGGTCCCTTCCAACCCAAACCATTCTGTGATTCCATGATTCTATGTTAAGGTACGAATTTAAATAGGCATTTTGAACTAATTTAGTATGTAGGATTTGGGAGCAATTTGCACAAAATCAGTAATTTTTGTTCTGGGAATAAGTGTGCACTCAGGGAATTATTCCCGTATAACTGCAGCAGTTTAATTATATCAGTACAGTTCCCAGGTGACCAAGACCTGTGTTTCTCATGAGGCAAGTTGGAAGCTTTGTGACTTGTAAGTCAATAAAATGCACCCCAATAGTAGCAGATAGTATCACAGAATCATAGAATCATGCAACAGTGGTGCATAGGGAACCAAAATATTAAAACTGGTCCTGCCTAGCAACTATCTAAAACAAAGTTCTAAAATTCAAGAGTCATGTAAAATACTTTAAAACTTTCAAAACCAGATCAGGTCATGTTCCATGCTGTATCTTACCTTTAACAACATAGCCTCCAAAAAGGATCCACATGGAAGCAATCAGAGATCCAAAAGCCATCATAAAACCGATGAACAGCCAGATCCGAGCACCTTGAAAAAGACGGAGGGATGTTTTGTGCCTGAGTCCGAGGGCAGACACTGGTGACCACAGCACACTTTTGTTTCAGGGCACTTGCTGTCACACACCAGAGCTACGCACAGATACACACCGTGCACACTGGTGCAGCTCTTACAACTCTTCCAGGACTTACTGGCTTCTCAGATCTATCGCTGTACCACAGCCCACACCACCGTACCTGTTTGTCCCAAACAGCCTTCACTGTAACTGTCACCCCGCACTTGTCCATTAGACACCGCATTGATCCTGCACGAGCAAAACAGGGTAAAACTGGGTAAACATGGGTAAAGCAGGAAGCAAATGTTTACAAAACGATAGGAAAAGCTTCTCAGAAACCTGTATAAAAAGACTGATGTTGTATTTCTTGCTGCTTTTTTTTGTATTTTTTTTTAAGGGGTACAAACCTAAGACTTAAAAAGCACTTTTTCAAAGACTAACAAGACTTGGACCTGTACTACACACCTTAAATCTTTTTAAATGGTTCATTACTATTAATATCAACAAATATAAGGACGATATTAGAGATACTCAGTAACTTCATTTGTTATTCTTAGTTACCTCTCCATTTAAATACTATGCGTTCTTTTATTGATCGCACAAAAGAAGTTCTAGGAGTGTGTAGCTCTGATGGAGAAATTACACTTACATTAGGAACGCAATAGTGGCTATAACCCCACAAGCATGGTATGAGTGGTTGAAATCTTCCACTTTAGGGTATTTTACAGCTGCATCTATGATTATCCACCAACCTGTAAAAAACTGTTAAAAAAGAAGAGCATAACAGCTTAAAACATGGACCAAGCCTTTTAACAAGATTGCTCTGGAAAAAATAACATATAAAATCACTCCTCAGGTTTCCACCCCAGAGTCAACTGATAGCATAACTCGTTTTGCTATCAACTTAGTAACAAGGTTAAATGCAAAGCCAGAGATTTACCTACTCCCACAGTTATTACAGGGGTAGAAGCTGCAAAACTTCAGTAGCACGTGGGTGCAAGCACCCAGAACAGATTTTGTAGTTATCTCTGCTGCTACATACAAGGACATGCATCTCCGTTTGTCCTTTAACTTCCAACGGCTAATAATTTTTGGCTCACCGACAGCTGACTGCATCTAAAAAGCCCGAAAGCAGCAGAAGAGAAGCTTGTCCCCCCCCCCCCGCCGCAACAGAAGCGATCGTGTTTCGTTTCTCTCCCCAGTCAACACACTCCGAGCACCTCAGGCTCTCAAGAAAACCTGACATTTTCCAGCGCTCCGAAGAACTGCACAAGAAAAAGGGACATTTCCTTCAAAGAGGACACCCACCGCACACCGAGGGCTGGCACGGAGCATCGTGTGAGGCAGGTTACAACTGCTGAAAATTCCACAGCCAGGGCGCCTTCCCGAGGAACCACCGAGCGGAGCAGCT